ACTGAGATACCATGCCGCAGTGTAACACGAATATCCCACTCAGACACAGTATACGGACTCCGAGCCGACCAATCCTTGTTTTAGTTCATTAACGGTGTGCGCCAGGCAGGGTAACAACAAGTACCATATTTGAATGTCTTTTGGTATGACGCGTCCAGGAAGCGCACCCGGACCTTCCGCTCTCCGGGCAGACGCTCTACCACCATGGAGGCACATATACATTTTGTGACATGATTTTACTCACTAATATAGTGTTAGACAATACATGTGACCTACGCGGAGTTGCATGTTTACATAAAAAAGAAATATATAGCTACAAATAAAAATTACTCTTCTAGTTTTCAATTATCAAATAGACATGCCTCAAATCAAGTTAGAATTTATCGAAATAAACTTTTTCAATTTTGTATGGGAAACCGATCTATCTTCTCCACACGCAATGTTGTTGGAAAAGCCAAGGAATTTAATTTGTTGGTGAAACTGGTCCCAGAAGTACATATAAGCACGCGTTTTGATATTACACAATGTGTTATCCAGCTGCATGTTTATTAAACGGGTGATCTCTTCACGGGCAAGTAATAATATATCAGAAGTGTTAAATCCGGCCAAATCAGGACAAATGGACGTGAACAGTGAAACCTTCACAAGTTCGGGCAATCTCGTTTTAGCTTATATACGAGTTGTGACCTGCTAGGCCTATGACTATCTCCAGATTCACACAGTTCTGTTTGCACTCACGAGTACACGTTCTGTTTCCCCGTCGAATATGGCGAGCATAACTGCAACACAATGACAAAATAGGTGACAATAATCCCAGCCAAATAAATCAAACAATGACAACATATGTGTTGACAGACCCAGCCAACTGAAACACAAAATGACAAAATAGGTGACGATAGTCCAATTCATCTGAAACACAATATGACATCATGCGTGACGATAGTCCCAACCAGCCAACTGAAGCAAACAATGACAACATACGCCATGATAGTTCCAGGCAACTGAAACACAATATCAAAACATAGGTGACGATACTCATCGCCAACTGAAATATACAATGACAACATAGGTGACGAAATCCCAGCCAACTGAAACAAACAATGACAACATACGTCATGATAGTTCCAGCCAAATGAAACACAATATCAAAACATAGGTGACGATAGTCCCAGCCAACTGAAACACACAATGACAACATAGGTGACGATACTCATCGCAAACTGAAACAAACAATGACAACATACGTGTTGATAGTCCAAGCCAACTGAAATATACAATGACAACATAGGTGACGAAATCCCAGCCAACTGAAACAAACAATGACAACATACGTCATGATAGTCCCAGCCAACTGAAACACAATATGACATCATACGTCATGATAGTTCCAGCCAACTGAAACGCAATATGACAACGTACGAGACAATAGTCCCAGCCAACTGAAACACACAATGACAACACATGTGCCGATAGTCCCCGCCAACTTAAACAAACAATGGGAACATATGTGATGATAGTTCCAGCCAGATGAAACACACAATAACATAACAGTTTTCTTCAGTTTCAAGGAGATCAATCTCTCGCTAGTATATGTGTCATGAGGTCTCACTAGATTCTACACGTGAACATGGATCAACTACGTCATATAGAAGTGATAATGTTTACGACTCGGGCATGCATACAAAACGCAAACATAACATAATCAAAATACTCGTCGAGACCTACATTCAAGAATCTCTGAATAGAAGACATTATTTTAGAACTCATCATTAGTTATGTTGTTAACAGAAGATCGGTTAGGGAGGTGAACAAGAACATACGGTAGTCACCCAGCGGACTGAATTTCACACTGCGGACTCTCACAAAAGTTTGCACATCGGGTTTTTTATTCATATTTCAATGGGGGCGGTCGGGTAGCCTAGTGGTTAAAGCGTTTGCTCGTCGCGCCGAAGACCCGGGTTCGATTCCCGACATGGGTACAATGTGTGAAGCCCATTTCTGGTGTCCCCCGCCGTGATATTGCTGGAATATTGCTAAAAGCGGCGTAAAAACATACTCACTCACTCACTCATATTTCAATGAACCGAACAAATCCTTACCCAATCCTTATAATTAAATTCGACAACGTAAACATGTGTTTTCTTAGAAAGTGTAACCAAAAACAGTTGAATGTATCAACGCAAATGGCGAGATTTATAGCCTTGCCATGCGTTGGAATGCATAGTGTGGCGTAACATGAATCAGGTGAATTTCTTTATGCACCTAGTTTGACACGCCGAAGTTCGAAACATGCAAGTTTATCAAAGTTTGCTACATGAAGTTATATTAATAACAGTTTTGAAGACGTCGTTACAGAAGAGCAGGATGAGTTGACTGCAGGTGACGAAGTCAGGCTTATCCGTCGTGTGTTGAACACTCCACATAATAATAAGTCATTCATAACGCGTCAGATTACATTTACCAAGTACATTATTATTGCCCAATTCGATGCCTCTTTCACCTATGCCTTGCGACCAAATGCCACAACGTGCACACAATTAATCACTGTGATTACATTTGAGGTCCCCGGATACTGTCTGGTTTGAAGTACTTGTAACAAATCCTAAAAACATATCGTTTGGGTGAATATTGCTTGGATATGGTAACCATTTAACTCTCTTACTTTCTATCATAAGTGAGTGAGTAAGTATGGTTTTACGCCGCTTTTAGCAATATTCCAACATTGTACCCATGTCGGGAATCGAACCCGGGTCTTCGACGTGACGAGCGAACGCTTTAACCACTAGGCTACTTGACCGCCCCACTTTCTATTATAAAGTGTCTAACCGTACTATTGAATAGTAACCGTTGGTGATCATCTATGTCGTAATTAATGATGCACCAAATGTAGGGATACACAATATACAGTCAAACACCGTTGATGTGTCGAACGTTTGGTTGTCTCGAAGTAAAAGCTTGGTCCCCGAATATTCCTTTTGTATTTACATAGGTGTGTTTTACCTGACAATGGAGCACATTTTCAATTTGATATATGTTAAGTTTATAGAACCTATCAGAGTGCCATTCTGTCTGAACTGATCTTCAAGACATTGCGTTTGGCAATTCCCGGATATTATCACAAGTTTCACGTCGGTTATCTGCACCTTTTCTCACATTTACCACATAGCCAGACCTTTTGGTTGCTGCATTGTTGTCTGTAACTAACACAACATGCATGCCAAGAACAGGCAGACTCAGGGTAACAACGCCCAATGAAGACCGGTACTTTGCATCTCCGGAATCGATTCCTGACAGTGACGTCATCAGCGACGATGGTGGAGGGTGAAGAAAGCCGGTTCTGTCTGTTCAGCGCTGATGGACGACAGCGTGTTTACCACCGAAGTGGCGAACGAACGGCTGCGTGTTGCGTTGAGGAAGTCTTGCCGTATTGTGGATTGGGTGTTATTGTGTAGGGAGGAATTTGTGGGCAGCTTCCACGTTGTGTCCTTTATCAGCATGAAAACGCCAGGCCCCCATACAGCCTGAACAGAACGTGATGCCTTGGCCTGCTCGTTCTAAAGACATTTCACCCATGTCTGGGATGTCATGAATCGTCGTGTTCGACAGGGACCGCATCCTTCAGCCAACCATCAAGAACTGATCCAGGCCATCCACGAAGAATGGCAACGTATCCCTCGTGACGTCATCAAACAACTGACCATTTCTGTGCGCAGGAAAGGTTTTGCGTGTCTTTTAGCAAAGAGTGGTCATACGCACTATCAATGTGGCGTGTCACTGAACTTGAGAGATTTTAGATGTATCTGCCTTTATTATGTGAGAAAAGGACATTAATTGTTGTCCGTCCGTTTGTCCATTAGTTTTAAGATTTTAAATTTGTTCTCTTGAAATCTCAAAGGCATAAATTATTCCTAGGGTATTTGTTTAAAAACCTTTCTCTTTCACGGAGTGGTGTTGTAATTTTATATAAAGCAAATGACCCAAAATGACAATAATCAGAAATGGACTTATAACATCAGCAAGATAGTGAGTGAAGCACTCATGCAATATATCCCAACTCTATTGTTTCTTCAACATCAGGTTTCAAGTACTTCATACCTTTAACATAGATAAACCATCAGCAAATATCCATGCTGAAAGTTGCGATGACACGTCCAACGTACGATGGTAATATTGATGAAAGTTGAGAAAAAATACTGGTTCCTAATAAATCGCAGTATGCTTTTCTTGTTTGAAGTGAACACGATCTTCGCAAATAGCGTTTTACCGAGGAAGCAGTATCCACTTGCATATAGCAAAGCCTTGTTTCTACACTAACAATTGTAAGCCTACGTTTCGGTGGTAAAATAGTCCAATCACAGAACTTTTTACAAAATCAACATCCGGGTTCCGCTGTTGAACGCTTATCACGGTGACTGAGATATTGTGTTTTTTTAAAAAAGACACCTGCCGAGCGTTCAATGTTCCCGCGATGTACAGTGTCACTTGATACTGTGTAGTCTGCTAGCCTCCGGGGCACAGATGGCCTTAGAGTTGTCTCCCTTGGATACGCCAGAAACCTGTGATTGTGGGATGGAATTACGTCATTACGTCATCTGTCATTGTATTTGTCTGCCAGTGATAACATCGCAACTTTTATCGTTATCTGCTTAACGGGGTCATCTGCTACAGTTGTCATTTTTATGAAGCCATTCGAAATAAGAACAGCTACCTGAAGAGACTAGGCTTTGAAGTAGCCTAATCTTTGCCTCAGGAAGATGCGCAAATTGATGCTCTACTCCAAAGTAATTCACACGTAACAATTAAATATAATTTGTTCAAATTCATGAAATTGCTTTCTTAATATTAGGTATGGTGAATGGTCTATTCGACTTATGCCAAATCTTTGTTAATGTGTTGATTTGAATCCATATAAAAAAAATCACACAGCAATTTTAAATAAATAAATATATAAAATAAATAAATAAATAAATAAATATATAAATAAATAAACAGTATGGAAATGAATCATTACCTTTTTTATTTCTTTATTCACCTTTCTTATTAAAGTTTTGATCTAATTAACAAACATATATTTAGTATGTCAATCCGATATACCTTAGTCCCAGGCAAATACAATACAATGCATGCCAAACCAGACATATATATTATTTTCACGACTGTTCACATTGTGCCTTGACTTGTCCGAGTTACTTTGTAAAACAATGCATCATTCTTTAATTCACATTGATAACATATTCAGTATAAAATGTTCGAGATGCTCTATGTACAATGTCCATACGGCAATTGAAATATCACCTGTGCTTTATCACAATTAGTGTCAGTGTTCTTATGTGCAAAAATACATCTTTAACAGCTGAGATCACCATCAACTTTTAGGCTCGACCAATGTCCATCGTGTGACATCAAACAGTAAACTATGATCTCTTCTCCGAGCGACATGACAGACAAGACTAGGTAGTAATTGTAAAAACTCACATCTTACCACGTCGCCCATCTTCGCGTGTCATTCCGCAATAAAGTGCTAAAATAACTATGGAACACTTTCATGCTAAAAAGCAGCTACAGATGTCAACGCACTGTTGATGCAATATAATAAGTACTAAAACAAAGCTACAATGCAGTTCTCATCTTGTGACATGCATGACACCTGCTGCCAAATTTAAGACTTTGGATATATACAGCATATGTTTGCAGATGTGCAGCTGTTATTGTTCGTTCGTTTGCTGTTGTTTAACGCCGCACTCACCGGTATTCCAGCTATATGATGGCGGTTTGTAAATAATCGAGTCTGGACTAGACCATCCATCGATCTACGCAATTGGGATACGATGGCATGCATCAACCAAGTCAGCGATCCTGACCACCCGATCCCGTTAGTCGCCTTCACGTATGGGTTGCTGAAGACCTATTCTATCCCGGATCTTCGACGGGTCAGGTTTAAGGGTGTTATTGAGTCTTTGAAGCCAGGGTAGTTCATTTGAATCCAACAGTTCAGCATACTGTTTATCGTCATGGTAGAATGCTCCTATTATCAGTAGGCTTCGGTTACGCTCTCTTTCTACTTGAACTACCTCACTATGGCATTCTATGACGTCACGAAACAATGAATGACGTCATATGCTTCCATGAAGGGTGTGAAATCGAAGGTGTCCTGTTATGTACAATAATAAACCTAATATATGCAGTATGCACCGGTCCTTGGTGAATTCTACGTTTTTGTTCAAATTTTGGATACCCATCAGGGAAAGTATTTATATCAAGTGAAAAGTAAGAAAGTTCTAATTGCAGGGCACTCATATTGTACAGTTTAAACGTTCATTGGAATTAATGTAGTTATTAAAATGTCGTTTGATTCTATAGTGTGTGAGTAATACGTCCAATCTGGAATTTTCAACCCCTTCAGAATAATCTTGTATTGGATGTATTGAATTAGTTGCATTCCTAAAAGAACCAGAATATGTAAATAGCTTTTTATTGAAGGCCTTTTTCCACATTCCTATATCAGTTTCATCGACTAACATTTCTACCTTCTATATACAAGGGAAAAGTCAACAAAAAAAGTAACAAAGATCATGATGCCTTGTGTTCACTTAATTCATAATATGTCTGCACATTATAGATCATGGCCAAATGTTGGTAATGTAAGTGACATGTGATGGGATCGCTAAGCTACATCTCTACAATGCTTCCAGTCCAGATGTAACATCTATTTGTTTTTATTTTATGTTTCGAAAGTTCAGGAATAACGTTTATCATGGATATATGAGATGACACGAGTATATTTATGCCTGTTATGTCTAACTGCTTTGCTATTGAGTAACGTTGTTGTAACGAACGTACCTGTGACCATTTTTGGATGTCTAAAGGGTTGCCAGTACCATTGTATGCCTACCCATCAGACACTAGTGCACTTAGATAGTTTGCTTAAACTACTTGTACTATCTTCCTCTGAACTCTGCGGCTCAATCGAATGAACACTTGCTCTGGGTAAACTCCCAGACTTGGGCAGAATTCTTGGCTTTTCAGAAAGCGATGACACCCTCTCCATTCTCTCCAAAGTCTCATGTTTGAAGCTTCGCCGGATCACAAGCTTCTCATCCTTTGTCTTTTCGTCCTTTGACTTGTCATCCTTGGTCTTGTCTTCCTTTGGCTTCTCATCCTTTGTCTTGTCTTCCTTTGGCTTCTCATCCTTTGTCTTGTCCTCCTTTGTCTTGTCCTCCTTTGTCTTGTCCTCCTTTGGCTTCTCTGTGGCCTCTGTTGACTCTTTCGGATTAGATGTCTGTTTCGTCAGTATTTTAATATTCTGGACCTTTGAGGGATCTGGTTTCATCTTTGGGACCTCTTTTACTTTTTGCGATTCATGCTTAACCCTTTGAGGTTCTGCTTTAAGCTTGGTGGCGTCAGCTTTGGTAAGACTGTCCTCTTTTACCATTTTATGTTTGCCAATGCTGTCTTCCTTCACAACCTTCGGCTTTGGAGCCTGGGTTGGTGACTTCATTTCATGCGAAGGGGCTTTTGTCTCATCCTTAGATCCTTTTGACAAAGATTTTGTTTCTTTAAGTGGCACCTTTCCTTTTTCCTTCGAGGCTTCCTTTGGCGCTTCCTTCGGCGCTTCCTTCGGCGCTTCCTTCGTGGGTTCCTTCGTGGGTTCCTTCGTGGGTTCCTTCGAGGGTAGTTTTCCAGGACTTGGTTTTGGCGTAGGTGTTGCAGACGAACAAGGAGACGTCTTTTCAAAGACGTCTTCATTCTTGTCCTCAGGAAGCGATTGTGTCTCCAGACTTGTGCTTGTGCCAGCTTCCGACGGAGGCGATGTTTCCTGAGAGCTTGGAGCTGTGGTTATGATGGTAGGAATCTGAGGTGCCTTTAAAATCCTTGTCTCAGACTGGCCATTGTTTATGCTTCTGTATGTAGACATGGAGGCGCCATCCATGGAGTCATCCTTAGCATCATCACTGTCTGATGGGAAATTAGGTCGAAATAATCCCGAATGATGTGCGGCTCCAACTCCTGCAATCAGGGCAGCTGCACTTTGACTCACAACTGGTAGGTCATGACCAGATGCATCTCCCTTTTCTAACTTCTTAGAATCAAGGTAGATTTTCTGTCCAGAAAGCCGCATCCCCTCAACAATTCCAGTTGTAGTAAACTTGATTGCATACCTAGCAACCTTTGCGTCCTTAGCAGACTCGTCAATGATTTCGGCTGAAGCTTTATAATCAGCGAAGACGTCTTTGAGGTCGCTTATAAAAACTGTTGCATAAAGTTCATGGTCTCGTTTTCTCCTGATGTAAACTGGCGCTGTACCAGTCGGCATTCTCATCAATGTCTGCACCATGAACTCAGCTGATATTTCCTTCTCAGTGAAGGCCACATTGGCAGTGTAGTTGCAGTTCTCCTCAACGTTGATATCACTATTGGCCTCAAATGTCAACGTTTCGTCGAACGTTTCCCCGGTAGTTTTGGATATTTGAAGTCTCATGTCAACTTCTCCTCCTTTAGACAGCATCTTCGGTAATCCAAGTTTGAACTGGGCCTTTCCGCCAATAGAAAATCCTCTCTGAAATGTGACGCTGATCGTGGCCTTCCTTGTCCTTTCTATTCTGAACTTGTACGTCTGACTTCTGTTGGTATTGTTTCTGAACTGCGTCTGCAGGACCGATGTTTCTGGGATAGAATGCCCGGCTGCTGCTTTTGGTTTTGTTTTGGAATCCTTTGTTTTTAGAATCGTGTCAGAGTCTTCAAAATGGAAGTAGTTCATAGGAACCTCAATATCAAAATCACGTCTTCGCAGGAATATCTTTTCAACTGGTCCACTTTTTTCTTTAAAGTCCTTCCAAGCATAATCTTGCAGTATTCGCTCCACATCGAGTATTGGAGGCGTTTCCAAAGACCGCTTACCACACGAACAAATCATGGCTATTCTCATCTAGGCTATCTTACAACTCTGGGTTTCGGCCCTTGCATAGATCAATCGCCGCTAGGTGGCGATGTCTTCAGAAATCAGGATGTTCCAAGCTTTGAGGTCTTGCTGACACCACTCTGAAACAACAAAGAGAACATGTTCAACTCTGTTGGTTGTTGATGCTGAATATATCTTGTCAGCTACCGAATATATTTATTATTAATTTGCCTGAATCACACTATGACTAAAGAATAATTTATAATGTATTTCATTTTGGGACACAGTGAACTCTTCCCATGTTATTCTCTAAGACACTTCGAAGCTAATCAGCGGTCGCATATATCTTTACAAATATCCCCCCACAATCGATATAAATGTATGTCTGTGTCATGTCCCTGGACATGATACAAATATGTGGACCAGCTTCACATTCAATTAGGGCATGGCGTTCGACTGTTAACCATTGCGGTATATTTCATGCGCCCTTTATCTGGAAGTTAGATTTAAAAGATTACGTGTATTAACGTTTCACGTATCTTGCGTTACCAATATGTAATGCGACGACCAGCCAAACACTCATAATTAAAACATGCCTCAAATTACGAAACTCATTTTCCATAGAAGGCAAAAACGCAATCGATATTGACTTGAGGCTGCATTCAGTAGTATTTCAGTTTCATCACTGCGTGTCGGTTTAATGTAGGATGCAAGCCAAGTGAGGCTTATCACATTGATGAAATTCACGCACGCATCTGATATAGTCAAACCAGGACAAATCTGGAATCAGAAGCCCCTAGCAGCGGATCCTGTAACAACTGACTCGCGCAACCGAGACCATACGTCGCCTAAGATCACCGAGGGAGAAATCGTCATTATTCTGTGTAGTATATTACATTAGGCAACATCCCCGATACCTATGCATAACCATTGCATCATTCGGAGCTTGCTTCATACGACACAACGCTAAATAACCCCATCCAATCAATTAACTCTGGTGAGAGAAATGCTGTGTCGAAGATATCAGTGATGAAGATGGTCACGGCGCTATGGTGATGAATGGCACCAGTGCGTTCATTAAAATTGAACGGGGATAGAATGCACTTGATAATCGACGATGGAAGGTTTAATTTATACAGCGAGTTCTTAAACCAGTACACTATGTTTACCTACTTTACAACACTGTGTGTTGACGGCAGTGTTCTCAAAGAGCGCCCATTTTCTCTATCAGTGGACAGGCATCTGAAACAGCAAAACACATTTGATAATCAGCGTCTCATTACTTGCAAACAGCTCTCGTCTCACAAGTGTCAATATTCACACAATTGCTTATGTGACGTTCTAATATATTACATTCCGAAAACAAATTAATATATTATCAGGTTCTTCGTTGTGCTGACTGCGTTTGACACTGCAAAATGATCCCAACTCCCTAATCATTTGTTGGGGCACTGTTGGCCCAGTCATCCGAGGCGCCGCAATTCGCTGTGCAGAGTTGCGTCCCTTCGACACGCCAGAAACCTATGATTGTGGCTTCGAATCCCGGTTCGCCCCGATAATGTTTCTAGGTTTGTCAGCACTATACCCGTGCTCGTGGGTTTCACCGAAGTGGTAAACGTCTGAGGCCTGCATCACTTCGGGCTTTCCTCCCACAGTTCCTCCCGCGATATAACTGGAATACTGTTAAAAACGGCGTTAAACCCAACTCGCTCACTCACTCCCATTCATTTGCAGCAAAGTAGCAGAAATAACTCACATATAGAATCAAGACAATCTTATCAAATTATGGATGGTTGGTGTTTTTTACACAGTTCGACATGGTCCTGGGTGACATTTCCTTCTAAGCTGATAATACTCATTGCAAGGACAACGCATAAGATGTATATTCATGTAAGGGAACCTCCATACAAAATAATCAACAAGGGAAATAGCTTGGCGATATCATGTTTGCGATGACACACATCAGCCATCATTTTGATCGGATGCTCATGAGGAGTTAGCTATGTGGTTAAACGACACTATTCCTAAGACAATAACAACTAAACTCGTTTAGCGTTTCTGTAGCACCACTATCTCTAGAATCGAAAGTCATCAGCGGGATATCGCAAAATAAGTACGTTGACAAAGTGGTAACTGGAGCGTTCATTGACAAATTTATGGAACTGGCGGCCCAGCTTCTGAGAAAGTTGACCTCCATCTCAGACACTGGCCAAGGCTGAATCAATTAACACTGTATAGCGTTTGATGTCCCGACGCCTACAGACTCTATAATCCAATAGCATTAATGAAACAGTGTTATGTGATGTTGTGAGAACAACATCCTCCTGCGTGCTGAAGTGATTAGTGACGGACCATTATATGTTTATATGTTTTTGGGGAGTGTGGTGAGGGGGATGGGGACGGAGGGGCCTGGGATACGCGTTTGAGACAGACTACTTATTCAAAGCATAATATATTTTTTCCAGAATATTCGGGAACAGATAATCCCAGCACTCGCTTCATTTTTAAGTCTCTAGATACCTGAAATAATATATCAAGTATGTTGTAATATACACTAGGAGATACATATAAACATACAGGGATTATGAACGATTCAAATTGGATATCGTCTCAAAAGATAGTCTTTGAATGTGTACGACACCAATTATATGAAACATGATTTAATGGATGTACCTGAGTCTTTCCCGTGAAGCTTATTCGTTAAAAAACACACGAAAGCCAGATGCATACACTCTTCAAAAAAAGAAACGCACAGGCAGTATGTTGTTAATTGAACCTGACAACACAGATAATCCGGTATAAAAAATTGGATATATGTTATTGGAAAATGTTGGTGGCCTGATATTCGACAAACGGTGCGTCATCACGCAGCCATTGACGATGTGCAATGTCTTAAACGGCATTGTTATCAAATTTGTTAAAAAATGTCATTGAGGAAAACAGCAAAGAAAATTATGGCATTCGTAACTCGTGGTAGTGGCTGTAAAGAGGCAAACATAAGCCAATACTTTGACATTCAATTGTCACCATTTTTTATGGTCGAACTAGCCGGGACTCAGCCCTGCCGATCGTAACATCTCCTTTGGACATATCCAAAGAGGGGAATCGCAGTCTTCTGTTGCACGCCACTTCAACGTCCACCACAGCACCATTTGCCGCCTTTGTGATGGATACACACAGTTCAGTTCCACTGCAGATCGTCCGAGAACCGGCCGACCAAGAGTTACCACCCGTGCACAGGATCGCTACATTCGACTGTTCCCACTACGTCATCGCAATACCACAGCTACGGAGACTACAGGACGCATCCCTGGTTTGCTAGGATATCGGACCATCTTCGCGAGGCTGGAATCCAAACTCAGAAGACCAGTTATCTTCCCAATTTTGCAACGGATCCATCGTTGGTGCCATGCCTTACAGCCTTGGAATTTGAGAAACTGGAGACGAGTGTGGTTTAGCGATGAATCACGATTTCTTCTTCAGCGGCGAGATGGTAGACAACGTGTTTATCATCGTCGAAATGAGCGTTTTGCCCCAAATCGAAACATCTCCCTTTTGCAGTCAATGATTGGAAGAAGGTGAGATTGAAGAATTTGATTCATGTAGCGATTTGCTGTCAAATGTCCCCGAAACACAATCAAGTTGGATCTCATGGTGTAGGATATGCCCCCCCCCCCCCCCCCCCCCCCCCCCGCACACACACACACACACACACCATGATACCACCGCCACCGAATTCGTCGTATCCTCGTACACAACAGGACAACGCTCCAACGCACACAGCTCGTGTCACGGTAGACTACCTTCATAATGCTAACATCAACGTCCTGCCCTCCAGATCTCAACCCAATCGAACACCTCTGGGATGAACTCGATCGACGTGCTCGATCACAACACGACGCAGACTCCCACAACTGGCCAACGCGTTACAAGCAGAATGGCACAGAATTCTTACACTTATCCAGTCAGTGCCGAGGAGATGCAGAGCCGTGATTGCTGCCCGGGGCGGTCACACGAGACACTGAGTTCAGCGCCACCTTGTGGCTTTATGTGACATGACAACGAACAGTTTTCAATGACTTTGTACAACGACAACATGTAACGTTTGAGCTTCAAAATTTCATATTTGTATCTATGATATTATATTAAATATATCGACTTTATCAGGTACAAAAAAATTACATCTACCTGTGTTTTTTGGAAGAGTGTATATTAAGTTCGATGTCTCAGATGTTGAGTGAGTGAATTCGATTTAAGGTCGCATGAAACTATTTATCAGCTATATCACGTCGAGTCTACACACTGTTGGATGAAAGCCAAAAATCCCCATGGTCATCTGTATTAAACAAAGGAACAGGTTCTGACAAGGGTGCAGATCGTAGTCGGATCAAATCTGGGAATCGAACGAAAGATCACAGTACTGAATCTCCCTTTACGTGTTGGTATCTAACGACGAAAGTGAGTGAGTTTATGTTCCTAGGAATATTGCAGCAATATTACTGACGGGATACAACAAATGGTCTTCACACATTTTACCAACAGGATACTCAAACCCGATGAAGAAACACGTACATAAACTACATTGAACCAGCATGAGATTCGACGAGTGAAGATCCGCGGTAGATTAGGTCTTCAGCAACCCATGCTTGCCGCAAAAGGCGACTATGCTTGTCGTAAGAGGCGACTAACGTGATCGGGTGGTCCGGCTCGCTGACATGGGCAATGCATGTCATCGTATCCCAATTGCGTGGACCGATGCTCATGATGCCAATCACTGGATTGGATTGTGCAGACCGACGTCATATAGCTGGAATATTGCTGAGTCCGGCGTTAAACAACAAACAAACAAGCAAGGTATAAGATTCGAACCCGATGAACAACCGAATGAACTACTAGGCTACCACTCCGTCCGCTAAGGACAAGAAGATACCAGTAACGCCAGCTGCCCTCAGTTACATCTTCACGTTTTCTTCTCTTATAATTCTGCACACCCACTCAGCTGTCAGTCCCGAAGGACATCACAACATCCCGTTGACCTTTACGTTTCTATCTGTCTTCAGATATGCCCGACTTCATGAGTGAAACGGTAAAGGATAAGCTGCCCACATAGAATGCGAATGTCAACTCCTGACGCTACACCTGCCAGTATCCCCTTGACTAGCATGTCAATTCCATGAAAACGGGGAAGCATATGAACTGACGGTAATTCATTTGGGAATGTTCAATGGAGAAACTTGTCTATACGAATGGTATGAAACTCATGCAATCTCCGAATGCTTTTTTTGAAACAAAATAAAATGTTCGCATTCGGAAATGATAAAAGAAGTTTTACGCCTTCGATTTATTTTCCCCTTGCACTGTCCTTTTAGTGAGTGAGTGCATTTGTTTTTACTCCGCGTTTATAATATTTCGAAATATCACGGAGGGGGACACCAGAAAATGGCTTCACATATTTTAACCATATGAGGAATTAAATTCGCGTTTTCGTCATAATTGGTGAACACAATAAGCAGGAGGCAAAGCTTTTCTTGATTTCCGGCGGTCGTAGAATGTGGTGCGAGCCCAAATGCATCTTATTTTATTGTCAAATAATAAGCTATAATTCATTAATCAACGTTTCTGTGGAGGCTCTATGTATATTGGGATATTAAGTGATTTGAGAGAATTACGGATTTGTTAGTGTAAGTATTAGTATCAACTATACCATGAATTTGGAAATTACTTGATGTTGATTGATCAATCAGAGGTATCAAATCCGAATAACCCTCTCAGTTTGAAACAGCCGATTCCACCGCCGCGTCGCCGCGGAAGCTAATAGGTATAGAAATAAGGGTCTCTCTCAATCATTGTCGGTAGTCATTTACAAAATTATATATACAGTTATAGGTTACAAAATATTTATTTGCGGTTACCACAATATTCAACGTATTTGTGGCAATATATTTTGGGCACGACAGATGTCGACTGGGAAAGTGCATTTCAAGTTTTACGGACGGCATATAGATGGGAATATGATGATACTTTTCTATAAAAGACTGTGACGTGAAAATGGCCAGGTGAGCGCAATTCTCCGCGTCACAGAGTGCGATGTGACGGGCCATAAATAACTGAATTATGTGGGCTTACTTAATTAATTTAGGGGTGGCCACGACGCTTTGGCTCACAAAATTACTGTGCTACAGACTCCGAATGCCTGGTTTATATGTAAAGCATGTTCCAGCACGAAACTGTTTAATAGCTTT